TGCTGCTACTATATGCCAGATAACACGTATATTCTACGTATCTGACTGACGACTAGCCTTAATCGAAAGTTCTCTCTCGTGATCGGGAGGGGTAATTAACTATAGGGGCTTGCGCCTATAGGAAACCAGAACTCATATCATAAATTCCTCGCAAATGAGGGCGAAATCTCTGGATAGTGTCTTATCTACAAACCCATCTGCCATCCAAAATTTACCCCGGAACATATCCGTTAAAACTCCATCGCCGAATAAAAAGAAAAGCAAGCGGAGGCCGGGGCCGAATTTTCGGATCTCACAGTGGCGCACCGGAAAACCGCCAATACACGCTTTTCTCAAGCATGGTGGGATGGAAACCCGGTGCATCGCCTTCGACGAGACCGGGGTATTCATAAGTACCCGCTCGAGGGAAAACAACTGCTTATCTTTTGCAACAGGTACCGAAGACCCATACACGTCTTTCTCTGACGTGGTGGGGACAAAGACTTTATACAGCCGCGGTGTCCTCATAAGAGGGCACCTACCGTACACGCTTTTCTCTAGCCTGGCGGGAGGCCCAGTTTTCCGTTGTTTTTCCCCTAAATGGGAGAGACGCCGGGAGGCTACCGAAATTTCGGGTGAAATATTACTGTACTCGGACCTGATTTGAACTCAACAGGAACAAGCATCGGGGCTCAAATGAACATGAACTGTGGACTTGTGGACCTTTGAACTTGATTAAACAAGAGCAGGGGACCTGAACAAAATTCAAATAATTAATAAAGGCCTGAACCAAATGAAATAAAATCAAATTGGAACCCAAATCCAAATCAATTTGAACTTATAATTGAACTTAAAGGACAGCATGGGACTCAGACGGATAGAAGAGGCTCATTTTGAGTCTGAACTATACTTGGACTCAAAACTTGAATAAATGCAAATAAAAGACCTAACTTAAACTCTAACTGAAGTGATAAAAGATTGGACTTTCAAGATTACTAGAGTTTGAAGCTCAATGAACCATGTCTTGAATGCGAAATCAACTCAAAACAAGCTTGAGCAAATGACGTTGAACTGGACCCGGATGCGAATGACAAATGACTTGAACTCAGACATGAACATCTGTTACAAACATACGATCAAGATGCAGTTAAATGTATTGAATCATGAAGGAATTAGTGACGAATGGAGTTCATTCAACATTCGCCATACACAATGCAACGAGACTCTTACAACAATCCCTACAAGATCAACGTACTATGCTTGCAAGCAACAACATGACAGTTGCAAAGAGTACGAGTCCTACCCATATGTAGCAATCAAAGATCCGCCCCCCCTACAAACAAGTGCAAGTACATCAAAACTACCACCTGAGATTGGTGAAAGGGGGATTTGATGCAGGAACAATGGCTCTTCTACGAATACCTCCAGGAGGTCGTAGTGGATATAACGGGACCCTGCAAATAAATACAACCTACTTGTGGATAACAACAGTGTGTATATCGTAGGCACAACGAACCACTTTGGCACAAGTACATATGTCATCTACGACGATGGTGATTAAGATCTTCAAGTATTTCGGGTATGAGGACAACTCGACATACGAAAGAGGACACCTCCTGGCAAAATGGAGGAGATTGTTTGAGCAAATTTGAACAAAACTTCTTGGTGTTCCAAAATTTCTTCTCGATCATGTACTTAAGAAGAAAACAGTGCTTGTGTCTACAAATATCAAAAACATCAAGTCTACTACACTAAAGATCTTGAAAGGAGATCTTTTCAAAACAAAGCAACGGACTTTAAAGTCTAGAAGAAAGACCTCCCCGGTGAATGAGAAAAGGGGAGTCAATATCAAGATGAGGAGATGCCTCATAACATCAAGACCACGCCGCCACCGGATCCGTAACATTCATACAAGCGGACAAAAGGCTTCTACAAATACTTTCAAAATACCCATGCACGTGCACCGTAGCTTGTATACACATAGGTACACAAAGAGGTATGTTAAATCAATAAAATTCCCAAAACCCACAAGGGCCCCGACGAGTGTGTTATTGGTACACAATGACGCCTAGGGATGTTGCGCGGTTAATAAGTGAATTCAAGTTCGAACCCGATCCTTCTATACGGATCAATAGGAGTTGACAGGGTTCGAACCTTTAAATAAACACACAGTTGTGTTGTTTTAATACATTCATATCAGGCCTTCAAGACCTATAATCAAGAAAATTCACTATCAAAGGCACCAAGCCTACGAGAAACCCGATCCTCCTAAGCAGGCAAATAGGAGTAGACAGGGTTCAAGTCATCAGGAAAATATGCGGTCATGAAGTTGACCGGAATATTTATCTTATACATTTATATCAGGCCTTCAAGGCCTTTAATAGAGGAAATTCATAAATAAAGGCACAAAGCCTACGAGAAACCCGATCCTCGGTCAATAGCTTGGTCGAGTTAACAAGATTCAATTAACAAATGGAAGTGACCACAAACACCCCGAAGATGACCGTGTCAAAGGCATATCTCAACCGGAGGAGTCCATTTAATCCAAAGCTCCACCCAAATACTCTAGAAATCCAAAATCATTCCAAATTCCATATATTTAAAATTTGAAATCCAACCATCAAATGCTTAAAGCAAAATCTATCCACCCTTCGCAACAGTTTGTCGAGGTGGACAAATCAAAAACTACTTCTGCTCACAAAGAGCCAAATGTCTAGTCGAAAATATTAATATGATCCATTTCTCAAACAATCTCCTGCTAGTAAGGACGTGGTACGTGTCCTCTAACCGGTGGTTTGCCGCCAAATGGCACCGCAGGATAAACGGTTATGACGCAGTCACGCAGGGCCCTCTGAACCGAGTGGTTTGCAGCCAAATGGCACCATGAAATACCAGTTATGGACAGAGCCAATACGTTCCTTATTGGCATCAAATCCTTGAGATATGAATTAACATGATATGATCGATAGGGCACAAAGCCCTCTGTTAGCTAAGGAGGATTCAAATTTGTCCCCTTAGACAAAAATTCACCCCAGGTCTACAAGGTCCCCTTGGACGAAGCAACCCATGGCTGCCGACAAGGATCCTTCTGTCAGGTTGGGTCGACTACCTCCTCTGACTAAGTAGACCAGGGACCACGATGACCCGGGACGACGGAACCATGGGATCTTGATCGGGTCCATCATCAATTCCCCCACCATCCGCTTTAAGTGTGAGATGGTGCAATTTCTATTTTAAATATCAAATTCTCTAAATTTTCAAACTCATGCTGCTACTATATGTTATATAACACGTATCTGATTGACGACTAGTCTTAATCGAAAGTTCTCTCTCGTTATCGGGAGGGGTAATTAACTATAGGGGCTTGCGCCTATAGGAAACCAGAACTCAGATCATAAAATCCTCACAAAATGAGGGCAAAATCTCTGGGTAGTGTCTTATCTACAAACTCATCTGCCTTCCAAAATTTACCCTGGAACTTATTCTGTTAAAACTCCCTCGCTGAATAAAAAAAAACGAGCGGAGGCCGAGGCCGAATTTTAGGAGCCCACAGTTCACTCTTTAGTGTTTAGTCTCCAAGGCATATTACTAATCCATAAAATAGCAGTTTAAACCAAGAATGTTTTCAGTCTATGATAATTGGGAGGAAAGATAGGTTAGTAAAAATATTAATGACTTTTTCCAAACACTTAAAAGTACAAAAGATGGCTTGAAGTAGCAAAGAATAATGTTAGATAGTGCTAAAAACTTATCACATGGGAGGGAATAATTCCTCTCCTTTCGCTAACTCCAAAAGAACATTGCTACCAAAAAGAAAATTTGTATTAGAAAAAGGAAAAGAAAGTTGGTTGGGCAGGAGGTAAACTCGCTTAAGAATAATTTGAATTTTAATTAACACATTTGAAACCGATTATTTTCACATGGGAATGGCTTGCACAAAATTAGTTCAATGCAACTTCAAATCAAGTTGAAATGTATAAGATAAATACTCATGCATGTGCCTATCTTCACATGCATGTATATACTCGTTTTGAATTTAGAAAATATTTTTCAAATTAAGTGACTTCGAATGAATCAACTTGAGATCGTTCTTTTTTGACTTGGACATGAACATAACTCAGCCCTAATCAATCATTTTCTATCTATAAAAGAGATAATTACTACCTTAAAAACATGCTGCAAGAATCCTCTGTGCAAACCTTTTCTCCTTACAAACTAAATTCTGCCAATTAAACTGACAGACAAGATAGAGGCAGGCTTTATGGAGTACTGTTGGATTCTTGTTCATTTACGTTAAGTTGGACGTATTGGTGTTACCAAACATCTATCAGAATAAAGAAAGGAAAAGAAACTTAAACAGCATTCCCTGTACATTCTAATGCAAAATAGGTACATGGAAAAATTATAGCTTTTTGTTATTATCACTGCTCAGTTCCAGTTTGCAATAAAATGGACGGAACAATCAAGTTAACAGTCTTCAAAATCTTTGTACAGAATTCCACCATGGATTAACTTATGAAATGTCAGGGAATTAAAAACTCATCTTGACCATGTTTCTGAAAGTAACATGCACTACAAGGAAACTTCAAAAGATAAGTTAAAGTGTAATTCAAGCAACAATTAAAATGTCACTGCAAAATACAGAGCGCAGAGAAAGGTACCTTTGAAGTTGCACGTAGTGCAAAAAATACATGGACGAGGCTTTTTGAAGTACTAGATAACACCAATTCTTTGAAAATTCTTGATTCCTGAAAATTGAACTCACTTTAGCCTACAAGTTGTTTGAGGAAAACATCAAGTACACCTCCATCATCACTAAATCAGTGGCAAAAAAATTGTAAATTCGAGCAAAATCAGTATATGTTTAACATATTCAATGGGAATTCTGTTTAATTTTAATATATAGATTCTAGAATTTAAAGAATAGAAAATTGATTCCCAATTTGTTATTGAAGAGCTCTATTTCAAACACTGCATCAGAAAAAAGTGATCTAGTAGACATTCAGCTAAATTAGCATCAAATTTATACAGAACAAAAACTACAGATATTGCATTATAGTATTATACATACTTTCTCTGTTTCATGCACCAAGGAAATGTGGAAAACACTCAGTTTCTTACTTTGAGAACTCCAGCATATCCCCCATGAACTACGCCTTCCTCAATCGCATCAAGGCATAATTGGTTCTGTGGCATATTTGGAGTTCTTTCAGCATCTTTCCTAAAAGCATACAGTTTCTGTCTGGTCTCATAAAGAGCACTAAGTCTGTCAGTTCGATCAAGTGTTTTACGCCAAGCTTTCCGTCCTTCAGCAATTTCTAATGCCCAACGCCTTGCTACTGTCAGCAATTCCTCAGAAGGGGCAATCGTATCAACAAGGCCATTCCCATATCCTTCTTTAGCTTTTATTGGCTTAGATAGCTGCATGAAATTATAATGGAAGACTTAGGTTGATCTTAAAGATGAAATCTGTCTCATGGCAGAATTTCAGGAATCTTTTGTAATTCATGAAATATGTTTGAACAAAAATGCATTAGCAGACAGATATAGCTGATAGTCGAGTGTGAATTGGAAATTTAGAATATGGCATTCACAAGGAACTTCAAGGTCTTTTAACCATTCCTGTATTATTTTCTTAGTACTATTAAGTTTAATTTTTAAAATTTAAACAAATAATATTTTTTTATGCCAAACACGTCTTTATTTTGCACCAAATATGAGTGCCCCAAGCTTTACTTGCTATCCACCTATTGGTTCCCTCTCTGAATCTAATTATTTTCTAACATATATGATTACTAGTTTTGTTAGATACAAATTTATATCCCTAGATGACACCCAAACTTATTTACAAGTAATCACTTAATAAGAACAGAAAAACTAAGTTAGATTCATGGGCGTATGGAGAGTGAGAGGGAAAACGCTTTATTTTTTATAAATCTCACAATAAGGGTTCGTTTAGGACTGTTGCAGCTCTCCATAAAACAGGTTGTGAAGTTGTAGTGCATAAAATTACTTTATCTCGGGACAAGTCTTCATAGACAAGTGTCTTAAGTTGGATGAAAAGTTCATTGAGATATGACTTTGTTATAATTCATAGAATTGGAGAAAGGTAAAAATACCTTCTAATTATTATACAAAATTATCCCTATTTATAGATCTATACAAGATGTCTTAATAAAGAAATAAATAACTTCTAATTGATACATAATTGCCTCAATACCGA